CCAAAGATGAAGAAGTAAAGTCAGCAATGATCAAATGGGCGCAAGATGTAGGACATAATATAAAATTTCAGGACTGGATAAAATTGTGAAAAGTAAATTTGAAATTTACAGATTGCATATTATTGAGAGAGAACTATATGAAAATGATGTACAGATGGTATTTTTCACCGGTTAAATTGGCAAAATGTATAAAAAACGTATTAAAAAGTACAAAAATGTATTTAAAAATGTATAAAAAAAGAAAAGAGTGTCGGAGATGTGAAACAGAAGGTACGTTTTATCATATGTTTAAAAAAGGTAAAACCTACTGGGAAATGATATACGATGAATTGAAGAACATATTGAAAATAACTTTTGTAAAAAAAAAACAAAGCCTTTTTGTTAGGTATTTTAGGTCAAGACATACCAAAAAAAGAGGACTTTATTTATGTATGCCACTACAGCAGCAAGAATGTTGATTGCACAAAATTGGAAGACTGGAGAAACACCAACTAAAGAACAATGGCAAGAGAAGTTGATGAACTATGCAGAACTGGCAAAATTGAGAGATAGACTAAGAAAAAAAGACGACAGAGACTTTGAAAAAGATTGGGAACCATGCATATTATATTTGCAGAAACAAAGAAAGTCACTAGACTTGATGGCAGGATGTACATTATTAGCATTAGAAAATGTTTAGAAGATGGTGAAATATGATGGTGCATTTACTTTTATTTTTATGTTTTTAGGCTTGATGTTATGTTATTAATATTTTTCTGTTAGGAGATAGCAAAGTGGGTGAAAATAGAAACGAACCAGAAGCGGAAGTTGAGGGAAACCTGGGGGGGGGAGGGAGAAATATATAGTAAATGTTAAGAATTTGAGATGATGAATGAATGAAACAGAAAAATGATTTATTTATTTTTAAAGGTGCTGGGAGGTGTAGCTTTTTGGGGTAAACGTCCATTGCCAAATTTCTTTGGCAGACACCATGCACTTTGAATGCATGGTAAGGATGTGAAAGTTGCACACTGTAAGAGTTTCTTCCAGTACATGCTGCTGCTTTTCAAAAACTATGAGTCACCCAGAGGAAGGGAAATGCCCATCCTGTGGTTTGAAACTAGAGAAATAAAACTAAGCCTTTTACTTCCCTTTTCAGGCAGACGAAATGGCAGACGAGGGTCCAGTCCAGAACCTCTGCGAGGAAACAACATGCTCCATCTGCCTGGAGTATTTCACAGATCCGTGATCATGACTGCGGCCACATTTTCTGCCAAACTGCATCACCGAGGTTTGGGGAACTCGGACCAAGATGCTTCTTGCCCGCAGAAGCTTGCGGCAAACAGGCGACAGATGTATTTCCGGGGCCATTTCCTTGGTTCAGCAAAGATGTGTTGTTGTTGTTTAGTCGCTTTAGCATGTCCGACTCTTTGTTGACCCCATGGACCAGAGCACGCCAGGCACTCCTGTCATCCACTGCCTCCCGGCAAGTTTGGTCAAACTCATGCTGGTAGCTTCGAGAACACTGTCAACCAATCTCGTCCTCTGTCATCTCTTCTCCTTGTGCCCTCCATCTTTCCCAACATCAGGGTCTTTCCGGGAGTCTTCTCTTCTCATGAGGTGGCCAAAGTATTGGAGCCTCACTTCACGATCTGTCCTTCCAGTGAGCACTCAGGGCTGATCTCCTTCAGAATGGATAGGTTTGATCTTCTTGCAGTCCATGGGACTCTCAAGAGTCTCCTCAGCACCAGAATTCAAAAGCATCAATTCTTCGCAAAGATACAAATATAAAAATGCAGCTCCCTCTACAATTGGATTTGAAGACTCATACAAACCCGCAATAGATGAACGACTTGCATATAAACGCAGACTTGCATATGGACAAATTCAGTGGTATTTGGAATCCATTCTTACCATACTGTGGTTAGGTTAAGATTCTGGTGAAGAACAATAACAACTGTACAAGTAAAATAGAAAAGAAAAGATACAACTGGCAGTCCACTCCCCCACCGCCCCACCCTGTTTGTGTGTTTTGCAGTTTTGTATTAATAAAGACATTCATAGTGAAAGGGAACGCCATTAACATCTGAATGTGAATAAACAGAAAATGTTTACCACTGGAGAATAAGGAATCATTCCATTTCTGTGCACATTTTACTGGCGAATGTCGGCAGCAGAGCCTTGTGTCAGGAGACACAGGTAATTTCTCTCCCTCCCCACTTCCTCGCCCCGCCCCCCCCCAACCTTCCCAGGGCAGGGTGAAAAATATTTCCGGGCTATTTCCTTGCAAAAAACTATGGAAAAGAAGGAAATAAACAGAGATGGTAGGGGTAGAGGCATACAAAAAAAGTAAAATATTTAGGAATATGGATAACATCAAGAAAAATTTTTTTAAGTAATTATGAAAAAATTAGCAGGAAATTAAAAGAAATTTGGAAACATGGAATATGATGAACCTCCCTTTAATGGGAAGAATTGCAACTATAAAAATGAATGTACTTCCAAGGATGTTACAGTGGTACCTTGGTTACGAATGCTTCAGGTTACAGACGCTTCAGGTTACAGACTCTGCTAACCCAGAAATAGTACCTCGAGTTAAGAACTTTGCTTCAGGATAAGAACAGAAATCGCACAGCGCAGCAGGAGGCCCCATTAGCTAAAGTGGTGCTTCGGGTTAAGAAGAGTTTCAGCTTAAGAACGGGCCTCCAGAACGAATTAAGTTCTTAACGTGAGGTACTACTGTAGTTCTCTTCCAAACTGTTCCAGTAATAACAGGGAATGCATGCTTTAAAGAATGACAGAGAGAAATATCAAGATTTGTCTGGAATGGGAAAAAGCCAAGGATAAAAAACAAAATTTTAACAGATGTGAAAGAAAGAGGCAGATTCTCATTTCCAGACTTAAAATTGTATTATGTTTTTTTTTCCCTCTAACTTTGTGTGTTTATTTTTTATATATATATAATATTTTTTATTGCTTTTTTCCAAGGTCAAATACTTCATCATATAACTCCAGCAAAAGCAGTTTACAGAAGAAAAAAGAAGAAAAATAGAAGAAAGAAAATTCACATTTTTAAGCAATTTTTCATAATCCACTGGACTTCCCCACATCCTCCTCGCCCTGCATTCTTTACAATAAAAAATAACAGCAAATTGATACCTTGTTTCATGCGTTTTTGTACTTTCATCTAATTATATTTTAGATTTAGAGTACGTATTATTAACTCACTTTTCCCATCATCAATCCCGAAAAAAGGAACATTACTCTAAAATTTAGGCTTATCACAGTCATAACTTAATTTCCACCATTTTCACAGTTAATCACTGAAGCTTGTTTTTCCCAAAACTTGTATTATGAAGCTGCATCCCTAATATGGATCCAACATTGGATCAAGTTAGACGGGAAGGAAATAACAGACTTGGAAGGACATGATAATAGATTTGGATGACATGCCTACCTCTGGTATGGAAAAGCAAAAGTACATAAAGGTTTCCACAACCATTTAATAAGAAAATCATGGTTCAACGTATGGGAGAAATATAAAGATTTATTAGAACTGAAAACACCTTGGTGGCTATCACCTATTGAAGCACTATCACTTAAAATATTGGGGGGGGGGGGAGTGGCCAACATATAGAGAATTCCTGGTGGAACAAGAGGGAAAGTTAAAATTGAAAGAATATGATGAAATAAAAGAACATCTTCAAAGCTGGTTGCATCATAGACAATCACAGGATATTTTTTAAGGAGGATAATAAAAAAGGCTTCTCATATTTGGTTTCCAACTTCCAAAAGTAAGTGATAGAAGAAAATACAAAATTATTTTAAAAGGCATATAACGTGGGAGACCAAAGATGAAGAAGTAAAGTCAGCAATGATCAAATGGGCGCAAGATGTAGGACATAATATAAAATTTCAGGACTGGATAAAATTGTGAAAAGTAAATTTGAAATTTACAGATTGCATATTATTGAGAGAGAACTATATGAAAATGATGTACAGATGGTATTTTTCACCGGTTAAATTGGCAAAATGTATAAAAAACGTATTAAAAAGTACAAAAATGTATTTAAAAATGTATAAAAAAAGAAAGAGTGTCGGAGATGTGAAACAGAAGGTACGTTTTATCATATGTGGTGGGATTGTTAAAAGGTAAAACCCTACTGGGAAATGATATACAATGAATTGAAGAAAATATTGAAAATAACTTTTGTAAAAAAAAAGCAAAAGCCTTTTTGTTAGGTATTTTAGGTCAAGACATACCAAAATAAATGAGGACTTTATTTATGTATGCCACTACAGCAGCAAGAATGTTGATTGCACAAAATTGGAAGACTGGAGAAACACCAACTAAAGAACAATGGCAAGAGAAGTTGATGAACTATGCAGAACTGGCAAAAATGACAGATAGACTAAGAGAAAAAGACAACAGAGACTTTGAAAAAGATTGGGAACCATTCATATTATATTTGTAGAAACAAAGAAAGTCACTAGACTTGATGGCAGGATGTACATTATTAGCATTAGAAAATGTTTAGAAGATAGTGAAATATGATGGTGTATTTCCTGTTATTTTTATGTTTTTAGGCTTGATGTTATGTTATTAATGATTTTTCTGTTAAGAGATAACAAAGTGGGTGAAAATAGAAGCAAACCAGAAGCGGAAGTTGGGGGAAGCACTGGAGGGGAGGGAGGGTGGGAGGAATATATAGTAAACGTTAAGAATTTGAGATGTATGTAATGAATGAAACAGAAAAATGATTTTTTGATTTTTTTAAAAAAAGTGCTGGGAAGTGTAGCTTTTTGGGGTAAACGGCCATTGCCAAATTTCTTTGGCAGACACCATGCACTTTGAATGCATGGTACGGATGTGAAAGTTGCACACTGTAAGGGTTTCTTCCAGTACATGCTGCTGCTTTTGCAAAGACTATGAGTCACCCAGAGGCAGGGAAATGCCCGCCCTGTGGCTTGAAACTGGAGAAATAAAACTAAGCCTTTTATTCCCTTTTCAGGGAGACGAAATGGCAGACGAGGGTCCAGTCCAGAACCTCTGTGAGGAAACAACATGTTCCATCTGCCGGGAGTATTTCACAGATCCAGTGATCATAGACTGCGGCCACATTTTCTGCCAAAGCTGCATCACCGAGGCTTGGGGGAACTCGGACCAAGATGCTTCTTGCCCGCAGTGCAGGGAACCTTGTCAGCAAAGGAATGTCAGGCCCAACCGGCAACTGGCAAGCATTGTGGAAATAGTCAAGAAATTCAGCCTTCAGATGGCCAGAGGGGTGGAAGCGCTGGGAAAGGTTTGCGAGAGACACCAGGAGCCCCTGAAGCTCTTCTGCAAAGACGACCAAGCCCCCATCTGTGTGGTGTGCGACAAATCCAAGGAGCACAGGGACCACAAGGTGATCCCAAAGGAGGAGGCCTTTGAAGAGTATCAGGTAGGGAGATGTAGGATTGGGGACCAGGCTTCCAAGGGATGCGCAGTTATCCTAGGGATGGGAAAAACATTTCAGCCTGAGGGCGGGGCATGTGGGTGTTTGTGTCCCAAACGCTGCTGCTTATTGGGTCCCGAGGCAAAAGGGGACAGAGCAACACTTGAAAATCTAACCTTTTTGCAGTAGGCTCGTTCCTACAAATGCTCTCATCACCGTCTCTGTTCACCATCTAAGTAAGTGGAAAGCATTAGTGGAGTTCAGGGACACATCTTGCCAGCCAAAAAAGACTTGAGGAGGATGTGAACTGGAGCTGGCGAATGTTGCAGCCTGGGGAGAGGCCAGATAGTGAGGCCTGCAGCTCCTATCTTGTACAGTGGTACCTCAGTGTATTAACAGTCCTGTTAATGAACTATTCGGACAACGAACTCCACAAAACCGCAAGTACGTGTTCCGGCTAGTGAACTTTGCCTCAGAAGACGAATGGAAGACAGACAGTGGAAGGACACCAGCAGCGGGAAGCCTCAGTAGGGAAAGCACACCTCAGTTTAAGAACACTTTGGTTTAAGAACGGACTTCCAGAACGAATTAAGTTCGTAGACCGAAGTAACATTGTACTGAGCATGTAGGAACATTCGCAAGAAGTTGCAAGGAAACTTGAAAATGCTCATTTCAACCGTCTCCCACCTTTTCCTGCCCCAGGAGCCCAGAGAGCTACCAGGGCAGGGAAACGCTTGAAGGCTGATCTGAGGGCCATAGCTCAACAGTAGAGCTTCTGCTTTGACTGAAGAAGGCCCCAGGTTTATTCCTTAGCATTGTTGTGTAGGGCTGGGGACAGCCTTTGCCCCAAAGCAACTTTCTGTCAGTATAGAAAACAGACCAGAGGTCTGACTCTGTATGAGCCAGCCTTGTGGAAGCATTTGATGTTCCCCAAGTCCCAGCAGTTTCCCATTTTCTCTAGTCCCAGAATTTATGTTGGGAAACACATGTTATGCCCACCATTTCTGGGTGTTACTCAGCTGTACAGGCACCTTTCCACGCCAAATGTTAAAAGTGTGGCACTTCATGGTGAATACTGCAAGCTTTTTTTCAGGAAGGAAGGAAGGAAGGAAGGAAGGAAGGAAGGAAGGAAGGAAGGAAGGAAGGAGCAAGTTCTGAATAGGGCTGTGCACCAGCCACAAACTTTGGTTCATACCCAGTTTAACTTTAGAAAAGAGCATGGTTTGGTGCAGAAAATGTGACTTACTTGGCCCAGGAGCTGAATCCCATACAGATACTCTGTTCTGTGCAAACCTGGTATATGATAAAACATTTTATCTCTTACACTGTGTCCCCATAATTTTGAGTCCCCTTGTTCCCCCCCCCATATTTAATCAGAATATTAAATATTAGCTATATAGATATGCATATGTGAACACTGATTTAATTCTACACTGAGAACGGAAGTTTCCTAGAAGCTGCACGTAGCCTCTTTTCAGCTTTCGTGTTCTTGGTTTCTTAAACAGACACGCCTGTTACAGTTTATATCTGTGCTGCCAAACTAACCCAAATGCTTTTTCGGCCACCCCAGGGTAAAATTCGGTATCATTTGGAGTTCCTGAACAAATGGAGAGAAGAAATTCTGTCTTCTAAACTGAAGGGGGAGACTGAAAGCCAGAATCTGCTGGTAGGTGCAAATCTTCTTGCCTCTCCAGGATGGTTATATTGACAGAGTGAGGCCTTCATTCTGTGGTGAAGCCTATGCTTCACTTGCACAGTGTCCCAGGTTTGATAATTGGCATTCTTAATTAAATGGATAATGGGTGGTAGAGTTGGGAAAGGTCTCTGCTTCAGACCTTGAAGAGCAGCTGCCTGAAAGGTTAGGTAACATTCAGCAGAATAGGCTAAAATTGGTAGGGTTGTCCAGGGGCAAATGTAGTCCTTGAGTCCAAAAATGTCCAGCCATGCCAGCATTAATCCTTTAAGAATGAACCCCACAAAGCCAGTCTTCCTCCTTCTCGTCACTTCCTCACGGCCCTACCATTAGGCAGAGTGAGGTGGCCAAGGCAGGCTGAAGATGCCAGGGAATAGAGAGCAGCAGCAGCAGCTAATAGATCAGTGGGTGAGCAGCAGGAAAATACTGAGGACTAAGGCAAGCAAAGAGGCCGTGTCCTGCTAATTTAGCCTGCCTGCCACCCTCAGCTGTGACTGAACTTCTGTACCATTGTGAGTGTTGAAGTAAACATCAACTGCCCTGCCAGTCAGCTTGTGCACATGGAATTAAGGGAACGTCTAAATGTCTTTGTCTGGCGATGACTCTTTCTTTGCAGAAACAGACAGACATGGAGAGGCAGAAAATCATGGCTGATTTCCAGCAGTCGCACCAGTTTCTGGAAGAACAAGAGCGCCTCCTGCTGGCTCAACTGAAGGAACTGGACAATGAGATTAAATCCTGTGAGGACCAACATATTGCAAAACTCTCTGAGGAAATGTCTTCTATTGACGACCTTATTAAGGAGCTGGAGGAGAAGCAGAAACAGCCAGCAACTGAATTCTTGCAGGTAAGAGTATGACAAAATAGTCCAGGTTGACCTGCAGGGAAAGGTTGTACCTTCAATCACTCTGTCTGTTGGTTTATAGAAGTATTCATAGTAGGGATATCACTAGTCACACATTTTGTTCAAAACTGTGATTTAGAGCTTCATCAAACTGCATGATTCAGGTTTGATAGAAGTGGATGGAATTTGCAGGCAAAGCCGCTCATTCAGTATGGATGAAGCCTGCCAAATTACACTGGATCCAGGGAGTTTTTGTGCTAGCACTGGCAATGGCACCAGCAACACCTGGCCAGTTGAGTTCTCCCTCTACCCAATTCAAACATGCCCTCACTGTTGTGTGTAGAGCAATATACATTGTCAGCAGTATCAGGTAGACATCTGCTCTCAGGCTGGTGGCACCAGTGGGATCACTTGGAGTTGGCAGAAGATCCCATTCCATGACAAAGCATAACTGGGGGTGGGGTGGGGTTCTGGGGCAGACAGGGGGGCCTACATGCCCATTCAGGGGGATTTTCAAATTTAGAAGTAAATGTCTGGGCTTTTGTAGTTTTTTTTAATCAAGCACTTGGAGGAGAAAGAGAAGCAGCCAGTGGCTGAATTCTTGCAAGTGAGCAATGGCACAATGAAACAGTCCAGGTTGTCCTCTGGGGAAGGGCTGTTCATTGGTCTATAGAAGTATTTAAAGTAGGCGTGTACACTTCGATATTTGGTTGATATATAAAGAAAAGGGGGAAGTAATAAACTGCTGGAGGCAACTGGTGCAAGGGACTGAATTTCTCTCATTCTGTCTCTTCCATCTAGAATATGAGAAGCATCCTAGAAAGGTATGTGGCTTTGTTATGAATATTAATATGAATAATATTAATTTCCTTCCTTGGAGGTAAGGGATAAATTGATTTGGTCTATACTTTTATGTGAACCAATCTAATTCACCGTTTACAGACCATTAAGCAGATCAGAAAACAGTTACAAATCTGACTGCACACTTTTACACATTTTGTGAGGCATGTTTTCGTTTAAAAAACCCACCCAAAACTGTGTATCCCATGCAGGGAAATGTACAAAAAACACATTGGGGGATGCATAGACCAACATACAAAAATGGATAGGATTTTTTGGGGTGGTGGTGCATATAAGATGCATATTTTAGGAAGAACTGGTGATATTTCTTCATCTACTGTATACTTCATATCTTATCAGAGTTGGTGGCGGTGGTGGATTATTAGATTTCTTACTTGCCCTCCACTGTCTGGTACCAGGGCAGCTTGTGAATTAAAATACAATATTAAAAATAGTTAAAACAAATTACAATCCAAGAAAACTGGGTGGGTCCTAAAATACCTATCCTAGATGGCAAAGGCCAGGGTAAAGAGATGATCTTAATTAATTACTGTATACATTATGTATAGACAGTGGCGTAGCGTGGGGGGTGCAGGGGGGCCGGCCGCACCGGGCGCAACATCTGGGGGTTAGGGTTGGGGGCGCAAATCCACGGGTTAGGGGGCGCAAATCCATGGGTTAGGGGGCACAAATTACTTGCCTTGCCCCGGGTGCTGACAACCCACGCTACGCCACTGTGTATAGACATAATTTGTTGGAGAAAATATTCATTAAGGTTGTGCTCCAGGTTCAGCTGGATCCTCTACCAAATTGGGCCGATTTATACCCTGTTCTGATCAGGCAGAAGCAGCAACAAATCACAACTTAGTTAACCAGGCGCTTCTTACCCAGCTGTAATTTTTAACATGGTACGGGTATGCAATGTGTGCGTCAAAATTTCAGACCCATTGTTTGAAAATATTTCTAAACAATAAAGTTTGTTTTTTAAAAAAATAAGAGAGAGGTAAAATATATTACGGATTGATCATTTATATGTAAATGTTATATGAAAAAAATGTTTATGTAAATTTACACTTTATCCTCGCCCCCCGCATTATACTTCATTTCCCAGTTTGTCATAGGTCTTTGTAATGGTAACAGGGCAGACAATACCATTAGTTGCTATCACAGGGCTCAGCCACATGTCTGCTTTTCCTGAGATTTCTAGGACCAAGTTGGAGAAGCTTTTCTTTTGTCCCGCCGCTTTTCCGGGGAAAACTTGCTGCTTACCACTGAATTGGAAGAAACATAAATCAGCAGAAAACCCGATGAATGCTTGGTTCTATTTCACTGTCAACCCACAGAAAACCCGATTGACCTTTGTCAATTCAGTGGTAAACGGTGGGGACTTTCGTGGGGAACCGGGGGGAATGAAAGAAAAGCCTATCATGGACGAGCCCTTGGTATCTTCCTGCTGTTCCCACTTTTCTCCTTCATTCTGATGACTGAATTAAGAATGACTTCAGAATGACCTGATGGATCACAATAAACCTCACTTTCTTCTTCCTAGGTGTAATGAAAATAAAAATAAAACCATGAATGCAATAGTTTTTCCTCCTGGATTAAAAGAGCAAATAGATAAATTCTCTAGAATACATCCTTTTTTGGAGAAGGAGACCAAGAAATTTAAAGGTAACAAGGGTCATTGTGTGGTGTTATAGATGTGGGATAGATTAGATAGATAGATAGATAGATAGATAGATAGATAGATAGATGATAGATAGATGATAGATAGATAGATAGATAGATGATAGATGATAGATGATAGATAGATGATAGATAGATAGATGATAGATAGATAGATAGATAGATAGATAGATAGATAGATATAGTTGCATGCCATGCCAATTTCCAAACGGTGAATATTCCGGGGGTCCCAGGCTGCTTCCCCAGGGTTTGAGTTTCCTATTGGCAAATGAGCCACAGCAGAGACTGTGGTGTCTTTAGGATACAGTGGTACCTCAGGTTAAGTACTTAATTCGTTCTGGAGGTCTGTACTTAACCTGAAACTGTTCTTAACCTGAAGTATCACTTTAGCTAATGGGACCTCCTGCTGCTGCCACGCCGCCGGAGCATGATTTCTGTTCTCATCCTGAAGCAAAGTTCTTAACCTGAAGCACTATTTCTGTGTTAGCGGAGTCTGTAACCTGAAGCGTATGTAGCCTGAAGCATATGTAACCCGAGGTACCACTGTATATGGTTTATTTACACATATATACAATCTGAATCTACGCTGGAGGGGTTCACAGCACAGAGACAGACACTCCAAGAGAGTCTTATTTTTCCCATAGCCACAGCCTTGGATTCAAAACAGGAATCAAGCCTCGTGCTCTGATTCTCTTTATGGCTTGCTGGGATTCAGCCGTTGGAAACGGCAGCAATCACTGAAATGGCAACTCATGTTGAAAATGTACATTTTGGCAAATTGTTATCAAAATAGCTCAAAAAAAAAAGTTCAACCACTTTCTACCAAAAGGTCAATAACTTTTGTGTCCAGACTTTCACTTTTTGAAATATGGCAACCCTACCACAAGGAAGGAGTTATGTCCCAATCAAAGCAGGAAAATTTAGTTTGACATATCTGCTCAGTGCGTCAGGGTCTGGTTTTAAATTTCTCCCTCTTAACTTTAAAAGAGAATGGGAACCATTTGCAACATATATGAGGAGGCAACATAAAGAAATGGACTCATTGGCAGGGTTTGAGTAAACAATCACAACTGTATACAACGAAAAATGAGACTATATGTATTGAGAAAATTTTGGGGAAAACAATACGCAGGGTGAACAATATGGACATAAAACAAAACAGGAGTATGAGGGAAGGCCAGGGGAGGAGGGTGGAAATATGAAAAATGGTTAAAGATATATTGTTAGAAGTAGTATACATGGAAAAATCAATAAAAATGATTTCAATAAATAAAATAAATAAATTTCTCCCTCTTTCTTCTTCATAACAGAGTCCCTGGAAGAAGTACAGAATAAGGGTAATATTCTGGGATTGAATGAGATGGGAGGATTTTTAAGGGAGGGGGTGCTTGGGTAAGACCAAGAAGGGGTATTTGTGCCTAAAGAAGCCAGGGTGGCTATCTAAAGAACTTTTAACTGAGTTAAGATTAAAAAAGGATGTGTACAAAAAATGGAAAAGGGGGGAAACCACCAAAGAGGAATTCAAACAAATAGCCAACACGTGTAGACACAAAGTCAGAAAAGCTAAAGCACAGAATGAACTCAGGCTTGCTAGAGAGGTTAAAAGCAACAAAAAAGGCTTTTATGGGTATGTTCGTAGCAAAAGGAAGAACAAAGAAACAGTGGGGTCACTCAGAGGAGAAGATGGTGAAATGCAAACAGGGGACACAGAAAGGGCTGAACTCCTCAATGCCTTCTTTGCCTCAGTCTTCTCCGATAAAGAAAACAATGCCCAACCTGAAGAATTTGGAGCAAATGATTCAGCAAAGGAAACACAGCCCAGAATAACTAAGGAGATAGTACAAGAATACTTCCCTAGTTTAGATGTATTCAAGTCTCCAGGGCCAGATGAACTGCATCCAAGAGTATTAAAAGAACTGGCAGATGTGATCTCAGAACCACTGGCAGTCATCTTTGAGAATTCCTGGAGAACAGGCGAAGTCCCGGCAGACTGGAGGAGGGCAAATGTCCCTATTTTCAAAAAGGGGAAAAGAGAGGACCCAAATAATTACCGCCCAGTCAGTCTGACATCAATACCAGGGAAGATTCTGGAGCAGATCATTAAGCAAACAGTCTGTGAGCACCTAGAAAGGAATGCTGTGATCACCAATAGTCAGCATGGATTTCTGAAAAATAAGTCATGTCAGACTAACCTGATCTCGTTTTTTGACAGAATTACAAGCCTGGTAGATGAAGGGAATGCAGTGGATGTAGCCTACCTTGATTTCAGCAAGGCATTTGACAAGGTGCCCCATGATATTCTTGTAAAGAAGTTGGTAAAATGCGGTCTTGACTATGCTACCACTCAGTGGATTTGTAACTGGCTGACTGACCGAACCCAAAGGGTGCTCATCAATGGTTCCTCTTCATCCTGGAGAAGAGTGACTAGTGGGGTGTCACAGGGTTCTGTCTTGGGCCCGGTCTTATTCAACATCTTT